ATGGTATCATAATAATAATAATTAGTAATTATAGTAATAGTACTGATAGTAGTAGTAGAGTAGTAGTAGTAATAATAGTAGTGAAATAAATTGTATTTAATTATAAACAAGGATCTATTAAATTAATGGTGTTACTGATGACTAATTCGCCACTATATATGAAGAATTATTTCATACTTGACACTCCAAACCCTTTTTCACATCTTCAAACATCTCCTTGCGCCATTTCCAGAACTCTAGAATTTAATTGAACAAAAACTTGAGAATCTGGGTCACTTCTATTTACTTCCAACTGGTAGGTTGACCTCAAGTGTACTTCACCGGCGGTTGGAGGATATTTTTACAGAGATCACTTACCACCCCTCACAATGCAGATAAGGAAATCCCAAAGTGGGTTTTCGACTGGTGACAAAGTCTACCTTCAGAAGCTTACAACAAAAAAGCTTCAGGAGCTATCCGCTGGTCATGGGGAGTGGAACCCACAAATGGAAAGGGTTGGTTTGGGACTCGTCTCTATTTTTGTTTACAAAAGTCACGGACTCATAAAAATTTTTAAAAACTTCTGTAAAAAATTTTAATGGTTAATCCTTGTGGTCTGATTTGGGGATCAGAGATCCTGGAAGCCTCAGTACTGAATCCTTTTAAATAAGGAAACATTGGCCCTTCCCTCTGAGGGTAAAATTTCTTTGTTCTCTTGCATATGGACATACGTTTAAGTCCATTGAAATTTTGTTGACTACCAGAATTTAAGTAAATGTTCACTTGTATCCATAGTATGTAGGAAAAATTGGTGTGGTGCAAGATTTCACAACCAAAGGTGATGTTGTTGTAGAGTACCTCGACAGAATATGGCGTTACAATCCAGAAGCTTTGACAAAGGTAATGCTGTCGCAATTCTCATTTGTCTCGCCAGGAAGTTTTTATTTCAAATTAGTTAACTACATTTGTGTTATGAGAAGGCTCCGATTGTTTTTTATTATCCGGTTGTCATAAAAATTGGCATCAAGTAGAATATAGGCAGGAGCTTGGATGATGAAGAAATGTAGAGAAAAATATGTTGCACCTGTATAGGTTAAACCATGTAAAAATTTATATGTAATGTCCAAAGTCATACACTCAAAGTATGTGTATTTTCTTACCGCACGCAAAAGACAAGGTGTGGTTACTGATACTTAAAAGTATCATAATTCGATTAACCGTTCAACAGGAATCAGCGATATCGAGTGGGACAGGACACTCACTAAGTGCTAGCTGAAGGACATTCCACAGGCAAAGTTACGTTTTTTTCTTCTTTACACAGATACAACAATTTAAGAAAGGCGATGAAGTCGTTGTCAAAAGTGATAAGAACTTCGTCAAAGAGCTCCAAAAAGATCATGGAGGATGGAACCAGTGTATGATATCGGTAAGTTTGTTTTCACGTTTTAGTTGCTTTCATTTTATTATTAATTTTTTCTAAAGTATATACTTTCTCTTTATTAGTTTGGTTGTCAATGTAGGTTTTTTATTTGGACAAATGTAAACTGCCATGGGCATGTGTAAAAGCTAAAAATGTTAACTGAAACAGGCTAGAACTGTAAACGATATACACTTCAACTTTTTGGCCAATCACACGTGTACCTCCAACACCTATTGTAGAAATAAGCAAGTTTAAACAAGCTAATGTCCTGTTTTATTCAATTTGTAGATCCTTGGTCGTACTGGAAAGGTATTGGAGGTTGATAGTGATGGTGATATCTTAGTGTCAGTAGAAGGCGCAAGATGGATATTGAGCCCAGCGGCTGTGACTTCTGTCACTGACCCAGGCCCCCGGCAGTCAACTGAAGCTGGTGATATGGACAGCGGAGATCCTTTAGGTACAAAGTTAATGCACAAATGTATGTTACGGTAAAATTCAAGCGACAGAAAACCACTACAATCCTACAAACTCAACTGCTTCATTAAATGACGCGCGACTCCAATAGAAAATACAGTAACTGTCCTCAAGAACTTACTTACGCCATCTACATATCTCACCGCTGCATAAACTCACAGTTTTCTCCAACGTTCCTTGAAATTGACAATCTTTCACAAAAGTTCTTTCTCTCTGTATAGCTTTCCAAACAGTCGGTCATTCCCGACAACAGCAACTACTACAACTATACACGTCTGAGTCTTAATATACATTTGCAAGGTATTCCAAAACATTCCAGAAACTTACAACATAACCATACTGGTAGTATCACATAATAACAATAAGACCGAACAGAATGTTTTAGAAAGTTCCTTAGAAAGTTCACGCGTGCAAGTCAGCAGGACAGGGCATTCAGTCGCTCTCCATAACATGTATTAAAAGCCTTAGTAAAAATGCCCGGCAGAGTTAACAAAGAGTAAAACTTCTGAAATGTATGAAAACGTTAGTGACTACTTTGCGATTAGTTTCACCGAGTTGTGCATGTGATTTGTCGAGAGGATGGCACGAGATTTCTTGACCAATCACAGAGCGAGATAAAAAAAATTCACTTAATAAAAAACTGCTCTGAATATTAGGGAGACAAATTTTATGAACGCACAGGCCACATGTATAATACCGGAATTAAGTCCCCTCACTACTGATGTTTTTTGGTTTTTTTTTTCTTCAGGGCTTTTCAGTCTCTTTAGAGACTTCCTACGTCAAGCCCATGAACAGGCGGAACCTGGCCTTGTATTTGCTGCACAAAGCAACAATCTTTCAAGAGTCAAAGAGATCTTGGATGCTAACCCAGAAAGGGTACATTTTTTCTTTTTTAACTCCTTTTGTTTCCGCATATAGTATTTGCAAGTCTCATAGGTTTTCTTAAATCGAAGCAATATGAGAAATGTGGGCACAAAATGAGAATTTTGTAGCTAAGGTCTTAATGAAAAAACCATAATTGTAATATGAGTTCATGATTTAGAATCAAGTTTGAAGTTGGTGGCGTTTCAGAAAATTTGACGTGTTCAAAGATTTGTGTCTTTTCGTTCTACACAGATAGATGAGCTGGAGAGTGGTCACACAGCTCTTCATATGGCATGTCACCAGGGGCACTGTGACATCATCAGAGAACTGCTTGAGAGAGGAGCTAATAGAGATATATTGGTGGGTAATAATCTTTTTATTCATTTATCAGTTCTTATCATTGCTGTTATTTTTTTGCGCCGTTCAAATCATTGTAATTGCTAGCACTGCATGAAGGATATCAAACAGGCACGTGATCGACAGGATTGGATTATTATTTTCACATGTTCATATTGCATGTATCTCACTTTTTAGGAACGGAACTTCATATACTTATTCATATACTTTAATTTTCTAAACAAAAAAAAACAGGATAATCAGGGATACACAGCCATGCATCACTCTACTTACCAGTGAGTTAACGTAAACATTAATGTGATTATGAATTTGCTGTCAAACGGATAATTCGACTCGAAGATGACTTTACCTTTGGTTTCCTTCACCATGAGATTGCTTTCCAATACCTGAATCCTCCTCACAGCCAATTACATGAAAACAACGCAACAACAAACCAACACGTGAAAACCACTGAAAACTAAGTAACTTGCAGAGATGAGACCAAACAACGGCTGAGAAAGAGACTAAATGAAGCGTGGCACCAATGCATTTTATTTTTTCCTAATAATGATTCAGACAGTGGCAATACCATAAAACTGAGTTTATTTCAAATAAATTGGGAAGTTTTTTCTTGCTCTCCATTGAAAGATATCATAATAGAATCTTTTGAAGGTAAACGCTCTTTTTCTTTTACAAAAATGAAAACATGAATTGCATAGCGTCCTAATTGAAACCACCCATTCAAAAGAAAATAACTCTTGCATGCTTGGCATGCCTATGTTATTCTTTAAGACAGTCACGTGAACATAGGAGAGCAGAATTAGTAACCTCTTAAGTTAAACTAAAATGCTACAATGCCCGATGTTTTGTTTTATTTCATTATATCCTCTTGATCATTTAGGGACAGAACCGGGGAAGCATTGAAACTGTTACTGGAAAGAGGTTTTGACCCAAATGCTCGACACTTAAGCAACAGGAGCACACCCTTGCATTTGGCTGTGAAAAGGAAAAACGAAACGGCAGTTAGGATCCTCACACAGTGCCCTGAGTGTAATGTTGATCTACAGGTTCGTGGATTCCTTTGAAGATATCAGTTCACCTGAGAATACAAATCCGTGACTCTCCCACTAATCTCAGCAAGCATTGCATGTATTATTAGGACGAGATTTAAACCTAAATTCAGTCTTTTTCTCTTAACGCAGATGCAAAACAAGCCTCTAACAAACTATCCTTTCCAAAGTACCTGAAATAAACAAGCCCCCTGTAACATATTAGCACGTGATACCATTGGCACGTAACATTGCGACTACGTATATTTCAAAAGCATAACACGTTGTATGCAGATTCAGTAAAGCATACACACTCATGCGGTGTGTCAGGCGGAAAACCTGAATAAAGAGTCTCCGGCAACGTACTACACCCCCCCGGGGGGGCTTATCAGAAGATTTACGGTATCCCCGACCGGACTATTATGAGATATGCTCCTATCACGCTATCATTTATGTGCTAAAATACTGCTACCCGAGCTGCCAGTCTAAACAATGTAAACGAAAGTCAAATGGTACCAGGGGACTCCTAATATCACGCTTTTGCTCATTTTTAGGACGAGGCAGGTGATACCCCACTCCACGATGCCATCCTTCTAGAACATCACAGCATAATGGATATGCTGTTGGACTGCCCAAGAATTTGTCTTACTCTTTGCAACAGAATAGGTTTCAATTTCCTTCAACTCGCTGTTTTCAAGGGAAATAAGCGGTAAGTATGCTACTACACCGCTACTTAGTTAGACAGCTTAACCAAAGTATGGGTTCAATAGCCAACTGATTGAGGCGTTAAGTATCTGAACGCTGACTTATGTACCCACATAAAAGGCATATTTGTCAACTGATCGTCCTAATTTTTTTACACGACTGCACCTGGGACATATACTTTCGATGTTGAGAACACGAGAAAGCTAAACTCACGCTAGTCAGGTCCAACTGAGTCATCTCATATAATTTGGACAATAGGGCGATCTAAGTAATCAGAAGGAAACCAGATCAAATAATAGTTTTAAAATCATTCTTAAACTGTTACCTTCCATATTCGCTTTGACATTCAGCGCAACATAAATCTATCTTGTCATTTATTCTCAGCGCCGTGGAAAGAGTTTTTGCTAAGACCGGGAATGCTTTAAATGTTGCCAAAATTGATGGTTTTACGACCCTTCATATTGCAGCAATTAATGATCACCGGGAGATAGCTAAGATCCTCTTAAAGAAGGTAATTTTAATTAATCTCTTGCCCTTTTTTTCCACTCGCAAGACTCCTTGTCTGATAGGCTCACTGATAAAGGTATGTTAATGATAAGATTATATTTTTATCTAACAGCCGGGGTGTGAGGTCGATGCTACAACCTCTGAAAATCAATCGGCACTTCATTTAGCCGCAAATGAGGGGTACTCAGGCATGGTAGAAATGTTGCTGGACCACGGTGCCGATGTTAATGCGGTGGATAAAGACGGAGATACGGCACTTCATATTACTTTAATAAAGGAACACATACAACAGAGGAATCTGGGAGAAATGGTAAATGACTTCATAAACTTCATCCTGTCGAGCTTTTTATGCCGTTCAACGTGAGAAGTTTAGTAATGTAAAATAATAACATGGATGTTTATGTATGTGTCGTCGTTTTGACACGGGGATCTGAAGGCAACTCCAAAATTAGATTATATGTCATTCGCGTTGGTTTGGACGATGAAACTGTAGTGAAAATTACTGTTATTCTCTTGTTTCTGTCTAACTTCGTAAACCTAACTAATTAAGGAACATTGAAGTAGAAAAAGAATTTCTACCATCAGCCACACCTTTGGAGAACCGTCATTCCTGTTTAATTTGCTATAACCCCGCTGTAGTGCAATGTACTCATGGGTCCTCTCACTACTTGCAATAAGCACAACTGATGCAAAGGGAAAGGTGGTTCTTTCGTTCTTTGCAATTGTGTCCTTGGCATTCCTAACAAAATAGTGTTGTTTTATTTTAGCCTGGTCTGGAGTTACTACTTAGGGGTGTACGAAGAAGTAGTGCGTCCTTTGTCGCTGTCTCACGCTGCTTGTTAAGCTATGGAGCTAATGTGTTCAAAATCAATGGCTCAGGGGAAACACCGCTGGACAGATGTCGAGGATCGGAAGTTGAGCAAATCATTCGGGAGATTGCAACATGTGGAGGGTATTCAAATGCCTTTGTGTGTTACAGTGGACAAATCCTCGCTTCCAAAATATCTATATTCCTAAAACGTTACAAATTTGAAATGTTTTTTAGGGTGTTCTCATCACAATAAGGCACTTTATGACGAGAAAAGAATAGGTAGACATATATCTCATATATTTTCAAATTGAAAATTGAAAACTGAAAACGGGTGTATAAATTTATAGAAGTAAATATATTACCTCTATAATATGGTAGAGCGGATCTTTGATTAAAGAACATCTATATTCCTATGACATTTTTATCATGGTAACACAAAATTTGATCACGACTAAGAAAGTCTGCGGGCAGAACTGAACTGAAGGGACATCACTAATAATGGGACATATATTTAGTCCAAAGGATGTCACCGGAATGAAAGAGATTGCTTTTTACATGATATTTATGTAAAACTGATACTTTGCTTATCTACTGCAGGACTACAAACAACAAAAAAGTTCCAAGTTTTGGGTTATCCGGCGCATCGCAAACCGAACCTGAAGTAGATGGTGCTTCATCTTCAGCAAGTGTGGAAACACTGATAGACGAGACTGAAAATAGTGATGAAAATCAAACAGATAGCGCGAGTAGCACAGATGAGGTAGAGAATACGTTTATACGGCGCCTAATAAGCGACATCTGCAGTGGAGATCAACAACAATCAGCATTAGTGGAGATATCAGACGAGATGGAAAGTAACGACTCCAAGGTAGGCGAAACAGCTGAAGGTGTATCACAAGAGACAGCCCTCGTGGAAAATGTAATGGAAGAGGACATATTGTATCAAATGAAAAGTTTCACTTCAGGGGAAGTTCTAAAATCAATTTAGCACGTGGTACCACTTACTGGTACTGGTCAGTGGTCAGCTAAGATGGCGACAAAGTTTCTCAATCCACTGATTTTCAAGTTGTTTTAGCTATTTTTTATGTACAGAAACTTCATCATTTCTCCGAAAATACACGTGAATCATCCAACCTCAACTTGGTTGTTACTTTCGGAAGAAAAAACTCGTTGCACTTGGGATATGAAGCATTCTACCAGCGAGTTAATTCCAAGATATCACTGAATTCGTCAACATCTTCGAACTCTGGGCTATTATTGCTCTCTATTTTACTCTTAAGCGGTGATATTCAGCCTAATCCTGGACCAAACTGGAGATATCCATGTGGGGCTTGTACTAAACCAGTAAAAGTCAACCAGAAAGGAGTGCAATGCGATGTATGTGACCATTGCTATCATACTAAATGCTGTTCGATGAGCGATGAAACTTACAACACTGTAGCAAATACATCGTATGTCTGGCTCTGCGTTAGCTGTGACCAGCCGAGTTACTCTGAGCCTGAATTATCGGTTGACTTGTCCTTACATAATTCTTTCTCCACTCTGTGCTCAGAGTCTCTATCTTCAAGCCAATCTGAACCCCTAGTATCATCCTCGACACCACAGTCAAACCTATCAAAAAGTCATCGACGTCTCACTGGAAACAAACTTCGAGTTTTATCGATTAATGCTTGTAGTCTTCGAAGTACCTCAAAACGTCTTGAATTCCACAATATTATTGATCAATATAAACCATCAATCATTAATGTCAATGTTCCACATCTTGACGATTCTATCTACTCAAATGAAATTGTTGACAAGGGGTATACGATCCTCAGAAAAGACAAGAACATGCATGGTGGAGGAGTACTATCAGCTTTTTCATCTGATCTAATAGTCTCCCAAGAGCATGAATTATCTGGCAATTATGAAGGGACCTGGTCCAAATTGGAAATTGCTGGTATGAAGCCCCTCTATATTGGCTCAATTTATCGACCACCAGATTCTGATATCAACTCATTGGAGGCATTAGATTATGCTTTGTGTCATCTATCTGAAAAATCTCGTCCAACCTTACCCAATGTTTTGTTGACCGGTGATTTCAACTTGCCTGGTATTTCGTGGTCTGATGATAATTATCTCATACAATCCAGCTCATCACATGGTCTTAGGGTAAACAACAAGTTGCTGGACATTATCAACGATCACTCCTTGACTCAACATGTTAAGAAGCCAACAAGGGGTGACAATATCCTTGATTTAGTCTTTTCCACTAATCCAGATATGATATCCAATGTCAAAATTGAATGTGGAATGAGTGACCATGACATTGTTGTCTTTGACGTAAAATTGAACCAGCACTCAATAAAAAAAAACCAAGAAGAGTCTTCATGTTTAAAAAAGGGAACATGTCAGCAGTCAGAAATGACTTGAAGAAACATCTTGATGAATATATATCTTGTGTCTAAAGCCACTTCTAAGACGGTAACTGAAAATTACCAATTATTTAAGGAGATAGTTAACGACACTATCAAAAAGCATATTCCACAAAAGACTCTTGGTAGTAGATGGAATCTGCCCTGGATAACCAATACTATTAGACGAGTGATCAGGAAGAAAAAGAGGCTATACAATAAAGCTAAGAGATCTGGGAATACTTCTGATTGGAAAAATTTTAAAGATCTAAAGAAACTTTTCAAGAAAAAAACTTGCTGATGCACATGATGATTATGTTCCTGAGCTTCTGTCATTTACTGAGGAACCTTCAGGTAAACCAAAAGCTACAAAACGTTTTTGGTCTTATATAAGATCAAAAAAATCAGATGATATTGGAGTCGCACCACTTAAAGATAATGGATCTGATGTGACTGACAGTCTTGGGAAGGCTAACCTACTAAGTAATCAATTTAAGTCTGTCTTTACACAGGAACAAATTGATAATATACCATCACTTGGCCCT